GCCTCTGGTTTGGCTTTAGGTAAAGGGCTTTATCGCCATCGCTTGTCTTGGTTACTTTGAAAGGAATTCACTCTCCAAACTATCGCTTGCGTCAAGATTTCCTGGGAAAGGGGCTCCTCCTCTGGAGGCGAGGGTATCGAAAGGGGTGTCGGCCAGGGCAAGGGGGAGGGTTGGGTGGTCCGTTCTTTGAAGGGCAGGGTGCTGGGTCGGGGAGTCATTAACAAGGGGAGAAAAGCATTAGGGTGGTGATTTGGGGGCGGGTTAAGGGCTTCTCAGGGATTATATGAATTACAGAATCGCAGCTTCCCGTTTGCTTTACTCTGTGTTCTGAAAAACTGTGGGAATTTATCTGGTGTCTTGTACGAGGGTGATCCGGTCCCTTCTCCAGAACTTGCCGGGGCTTCTCCTGGCCCGGTGCAGGCTCCTGTGACGAGCTCTGTGCCAGGGGAAGCCTCCAGCAGGAGTACACGGGGCAGGTTTGGGTCTGGATTTCAGTGAACCAAAGACCTTGTTAAGGGGGGTGATTAAGCCTTTCATTAAGATGCAGCCAAACTCTTTTCCCAGGGAAATAACAGCTTCATCTTAAGTTTTAAGAATCATTCCCTCTCTTCCCCCCCAAACTGAGCCCCTGTAAGGGAGAGGGGCGTTTAGAAAAGGACTGGGAGAGCCGCAGTGCCCACAGGGCCCTTTTTCTCTTCCATCCCTCCCCCGTCTGCCGGAGCTTGTCCTGACCTGGGCGATGAGTTTGGAGAGTTCTGTTTAGGTAAGAAGGTACTTAACAGATCAGTACTGAAAACACAAAGCAATAATTTTTGTTACTGAGACAAGAGTCTGTATGTCTGTTTTTTTAAATATTTCCTAATTAAAGAAGAGCTGCATTTTATTGGGTTTATTTTTATTCTATATACTTCAAATTTGGGTCTGCGGACAGCGCTTTCCTCCCTCTTGGTATATGCGCTGAACTGCTTCCGTGCCCCCTCCAGACACCCAAGGCCAGCTGTGCTGCTGCTGGGCTCTGATTCACTCTCTGGCCAGTGCTGCCACTGCCTGGAGGCTGGGGCTCCGGTTTCAGGGTGGGCATTTTTTTAAAAAAGAAAAAAAAGCTGTGTTTTTAAGCCAGTAAGTTATTACACTCCAATGTTTGTTCTCTCCACACCTGTAACCCTTTTTCCAGATTTCAGTTTTAAATTCCTAATAAATTATTTGAAAACTGTCCTTCTCTGTCGTTATTTGTGGGGACGGGGAGTTTTTCAAATGGAGATTTCAGGTGAACTTGGACCTGGCAGGAGTCGCATCCTGCCATTGGGATAGAAGCGCCCGGCGGGGCTCTCACTCTGTTCTGCTCCCAGACTTTGGCAGTGGCCCAGGTTATAATGTGAGGCAGACCTGGTTTTAATAGAGATCGTGTCTCTCCTCTACTTTACAGAGGTTTTGTACAGATACTTGTAGGTTTGAGAAAGGTGCAGCTAGTGTGGTGCTTAGAGGTTTGGCTTGGATGCTCTGGATTCCGTAACTGTGGTGGACCAAGGGTCAAAGAAAGTAAAATGTGGAGATGGGGAAGGGAAGTCCTTAACAGACAGCACTGCAAGAGAAAGGTGAATTGTAAGAGTATGAAATAGGGGGAAACTCTGTGCAGCAGGTCTTAATTATAGAGAAGTCTTAAAAATAATTTAAGGCTCAAGTCTGTAAGTTTAGGAACCAGTTTTAAGCTGGGATGTCCTTCACAAGCACTCTGAGAACCAGCGGCATTGTATGCAGCACAGGTTGGCGGAAACCAAAAATAGAACTGGTGGAAAAATCTTTACCCTGCTGGGATTTTTCTCATGAGGCACTCTTGTAATGCTCACATGCTCACTTTCCCACACTTGGCGATTCTCTTGTTGAATTAAAACATATGAAATCCAAGATAGGAGAGTTTTTTTGATTTGTGACTTGAAAAGGACAGTTTATCTTAAGTTTTCTTGGCAACATCCATATTAAATCAGACCTTGGGAAGTGTGGAAAAAGGAACCACAGATTCTTAAGGTTCATAGGTAAGAGAACAAAGAAATAATTTAAAACAGAGTAAAGGTGGCCAAAGTAGCAAAGGAGAAAGAGAATGCTTAAATGGAAACTGAAGGGAAAGTCAGCAGACTCTGTGGGCAGAAGGTTAAATCCTTTTTTTCCAAACCAATGGCAATGTCCTTTACGTCAGCCTTTAACGCTTGTTCAGTGTTCACACTATCGGGACAAGAATCCTGAATCTGTAACGGCGCATCTCTTTGGCTTTAGCTAACCTGTGAGTGGGGAAGCCCAGAGAATGGGGGAGCTTGTGAGAGAGATCAGAGTGGTTCTGGTTGTGCATCAGCGCGTCTACCTTTACCTAGATGTCCTGTGGATACTGTGGGAACCCGGGCGTAGCTTCAGACCCTGTGAGGGGGAAGATGCCCTCCCTGTCCCTTACAGAAACATTTGAAACTACTGAAGGGTGGTGAACCCTGAGTTTCCTGAACAAGCGCTCTGGCATGTTGGATTGCTGTGGAAAGATGGGCTTTGCCTCTTACTCTGCTCTTAAAAACTGAAGGTTTGCTCAGCGCTTTAGAAGTAAATGCAGACTCTATCAGCTGAGTAGTCTAGGATCTATATCTTGAATGTGTAAAACTGCCAAACTTGTAGCCCTGACAGTGTTAGAGCCTCCGGGGTCTGAATATGAGTGCGATATTTTGGAATTAGCCCTGGCTGACCTCAGGAAGCTTCTTTTTATCCATTTTTTGATCTTATTTCAAGGTTCCCAACTCGCCTTATACCTAAGCATAGAGGCCCAAAGGACCTAAGTGGGTTCTGCTTTGGTGCTAGAGAAACTGCTGTCTCTGAGCTACTGAAATCTCCAGTGTATGTTGCAACTTCTAAGCTCAGTGCATTGCCGGTGTTAACTCCCTTAAGAAAACAGACACTATTCCTTGTTTAAGCCTGAAACAGAGGCTTTCCAGGTTGCTTGGCTCCTTTTCTTGCCTAGTAGTACCTCTTTCTCTTCTATGGTTTCAGAGTAAAAGAACATCTTGAATTTTTTTTCAGTTCCGTTCATGCCAAATTGTTATTTGGGCTGAGTGGGCAACCTGTGCCTTATTCTCTGTATTAGGCCAAGAGAATCCCTGGAGAGATACAGGATCCATGATCAGTGAGATACCAGAAAAAGATGATGCCAGTATTAGTAGGATGGATAGTAGTGTGCCAGCAATTTCCAGCATAACTACCACACTGCTATTATTTTTTAGTAGCAGATTTTTCAGATGGGCTTCTCATAGTAGCATTAAAAGAATTTAGTAGCAAAAAACCCAGAGAGCAAATATTTGCCTTCCTGGGTTTCATAGAATTAACTCCACTGCCCTTCAACTTAGTCACGCCACAACCTCTGACGGAAGAAGTCTGCATTTAGTAACATAAATAGTGACTTGTTTATCTCATACCAATGTCAAGGTGAGCTTGTTTTATAAAGAGCCACATTTTCTTTAGCAGCAGTCTTTCTGTGAAGTCCTCCGAGAATGAAGTCCCTGTTCCTGCTTTCCCTGCTGTTGGGTATGTAGGTGCCACTCACCCCCCTGACTGGTAACTCCATGCCATGCTCTAATCTTTGTGTCTCTTCTCAGCGGGTGTAGCCAGCGATGATATCTCACCCCGGGCTGTATGGAACCTTCGCAAAATGATCAAATGCACCATCCCGAACAGCCATCCTTTCCTGCAATTCGGTAACTACGGATGCTACTGTGGCTTGGGCGGCCACGGGACTCCCGTGGATGAACTTGACAAGTAAGTGAACTTGTAAGACTCGGTTTTTACAACGGGAAAGGGAAGCTTCCTTGTGCTTTTATAGTTAGGCATGCCAGCTTCATCTCAGCTGGCCCTGCCACTAAGTGTTCACAGAACTCTTTGGCTACTGTAAATTGAGCTTTCTCTCATAAACTAATTCAAGGAAAGAAGGATGTTTAATATCAAACCTTGATGTCTTATTACGAAGATAAAATATAATCCCAACAACCCTGTTTTCTCTTCTGTGGCAGCTACAGGGCACTCATTCCAGTGGTTTTCTTGCAGCAGTGCTGTGCCAGCTGCAAGCCAGCTGCAGCTCTGCGCACACTGCCCAGTGCAGGACCATCAGCATGCGCAGGATTTTGCTGCAAAATGCTAAGTAGTAGCTTGGGCAGTTGAAAGATCACACAAGTCTGATAGCCAAGACACCACGAATTGTGTCGGCTGTTAGCTCTTTGGCTGCTGGGCACTGATGGGGCGCAGGGGGTAAATGTGGAATTTTATTTTCCCTGTGCCCGATGGACAACTGTGAAGATGCTCTGGTAAGTACGTGTGTACTAGGCACCTCTTGGACCATTAGCTGGCAGAACTGTGGCCCTTTGAGGCCGTTCATATCTGACCTCTTATCACTGGGTACGTTTATGTTCGTTCAGCGCCTTGTCAAAGCAACACTAGAGTCCTTTACATGTCTTACAGGTCAGCCGAGTTTGCGTTTCTCGTGTTTTTCTGATCTTTTCCTCCTTGTTTCCCAGGTGCTGTCAAGCACATGATCACTGTTACTCAGAGGCAGAGAAACTAGAATCATGTACATTCCTGTTGGACAACCCCTACACGGAGTGGTACAAGTTCACCTGTTCTGACGGGGAGATTACGTGCAGCAGTACGTCCGCTTCCACATCGCTCTGCTTCTAACGCTACTCCAGCCTCTCTCCTGAGGGAATGGGGATGGTTACACTCTGTGCTTCTGGGGAAGGAGGGGACAGCAGGGCCGGTGGTTAGAATCGGGGCACCTCACACAGGCGCCGGAGTGCGTTTTCTCCATATAGCACACAATTTATGAAGATTTATGGTATCGCAGCACACAGGGAAGCTTGTTCCCTCTTCAGGGGATTGTGGTGCTTTTCTGGGAGTCCCTTTAAGGGTGATGTTTAAGAGATGGGCATGCTAACGGGAAGTGTTACACAGCTGCTGCTGGGACATGGCTGATGTAATGGTGGAGCTTTTACATGGCTCCGGAATGAACGGCAGGTAGGCTGGCACACAGAGGGGCAGGCAAGGAAGGAAGGAGATGGCCAGGCCGGCCGCACAGCTCCCGGGCCTGAGGGTGCGCAGGGAGCA